CCTTCTGGTTGTCCCTCGGTGGGACAGCGGTAAGTTTACGAACTTACAACCCTAAAATCTGGGTTTCGATTCTCCGCGGTGGACACAGCAGATAATCCAAACTGGCTTTGTTCTAAAACAAACAAATTAAGAGTACTTGTAGGGTTTCCGTCGCGTGTTATAATGACATGAAAAATTGTAAGGTTTCAAAACCTACGAGGTGATACAGTGGGGCCAAAATGACAAAATAAATCTTGAGACAGATGTACGCATCCCTGTCTCCTTGAGGGTACGAGTTGACCACCTGGCACATCTTTGAATTTCGGAGCTGGCGAGCCTGGTTCTAATCCGTAATTTAAGCTGTGTGTGTGCTTTATAAGAGTAACGGTCCATCCATTAGCGTAGGTGGTGGTGGTGCTGCTGACTGGCTGCCTCCCATTCGGTCAGTAGTTCAAATTTAGGGACTGCGGCAGGTAGCCTTAGTAGTTTGTCATAAATACGAAATACTAATCCCTTTTCGTATTTGTGCAAATTGTTAATTATATGCAGGATCGAACAGTAAATCTTTGGCAGTAATGTGACATTAATGTTTCCTAATTATGTTGAGGAAATTGGTAGGTTAACTGTACGTCACATCCAGATGTAAAAGTGAACACAAGCTGGTAAACTATGTAAGACTCAATTAAATCTCTTGGATCTGGCCTGGTGGCTAATGTGCTCGACTCACAATTTGAGGGTGACGGGTTCGAACCCCCATCACCAAACATGATCGCCCTTTCAGCCGTGGGAGCGTTATAACGTGAAAGTCAATCTCACTACTCGTAGGTAAAAAGAGTAGCCCAAGAGTTAACGGTGGGTGGTGTTGGCTAGCTGTCTTCCCTCTAGTCTATCACTGCTAAATTAGGGACAGCTACAGCAGATAGCTCTCGTGTAGCTTTGCACAGAATTCTAACAAAACCAAACCAACATAAACCTCTTCACCAATACTGGCGCTCTCTGATAATAGATCCATGAATGAGTTTTGAGTGGAAAGCAACATTTCATTGAATTGAGAAATCAATCAAATGTGATTTCTTGTAGATCGGTTTTATTGACGAATCAGTCTTTCAAAGGTAAAGATAGTCTGTCTGTCTGAGCCAATCAGGTGCTATAACCATTCCTCATCGCCATTTTGTTTCTTCCTTGACAGGAGTAAATGCCTGCATCTTAAGAAATACACTGGACTTCGTACATTTCATTATAAGTTCCGTACTTGAAATGTTTAACTGCCATCTAACGTGTTGAACGTGGCTCGGTGCGTTATAAGGGTGACGGCCAAATTCCATAATTCGGTCATACCCAAGAGTTGGCGATGGGCGCTGTTGACTAAGAGACTTCTGTGTAGTCTGTCGGTTCAAAATTAGGGACAACTAACGAACATAAATAGTTCTCGTGTAGCTTTTCGCGAATATCCAAAAACAAACAATATAAGCCAGTGTTTCTCAACCACCAGTACGCGGACCAACGCCGATCCGCCGCAACCATCTTGCCGGTTCGTGAGATTTCACGAGAGCAAACAAACAAGTGTGTGTGTGTGCGTGTTTTCTTATAGCAAAGCCACATCGGGCCATCTCCTGTGTCCACCGAGGGGAATCGAACCCCTGATTTTTAGCATTGTAAATCCGAAGACTTGCCGCTGTCGCACCGGGGGATTCAAACAGACAAACAAAAATCGACAGAATATTCATATGAAAATCGTAATGTTTTTTTTTGTTGTTGTACTTACATTTTATTGGTCCGTGACAGTATAGGAAAGCAGAGAGACTATACCTTGAGTGTTGGATGATGTCACAATGTGAAAAGCAATACATCTTGAAGTGAATGAAATATGGAGATAAAGGTGACACCACCATTGTTACAATCGAACTAAAAAAATATTTTTACTTACTACCGATCTGTGTTTGAAAGCTTGAAATATTTATATTGTGTTATCCTTGTTCATTCTTTGTTGTTGCTTCTATTAGTGGTCATATTAATATAACACTATAACATACGTACGGATGAATATTTTGTATTAAATATCACAGTGGACGTGTCATCCTTGTGCGGGTTATGATATGAGATATTACCATGTGTAAAGCACGTGCATCTGTTTTGTGTGTGTGTGTGTGTGTGTGTGTGAATGGTTAAATGATCACTCGTTATATAACGAATGTAGAGATCGTGACTTCTAAGAAGGACCAAAAGAAACATATTGGATTAAAACATTATGGTTCTAAATTGGTCATATAAACTGAAGTACAAATAACTCGTGCTCTCAGTTTGCTACTGTTGAAGAAGTAGACGCTTCTTTTGAGTTCAAGTTACTCCCTTACATGAGCCATATGTTACGCGTTGGTTAATTAAACGGGAGCCTCCAATCAGCTGTTAACTCCTAACTCCTCCCGCTTGTAATTTTATGTAACATACCTACTGTGTCATTTCGTGATTTTTTTTTCTCTCTTTCTGTTGTGAGTCGTTAAGTTAAAGTTTAATGTTACATTCAGCGTTTCGCTTAGGATAAATGGCCATAAATATTCAGATAGTTGTATTTGGTATTCATGAAATCACTGAGTATATAATCGTGTTAAGTATATTAGGCTGAAGCGTTGGTTGCTATGCGCATGGCATCCTCTGAAATAAAGCATACATGTACAGTGGCTAGAAACATCGTTATTAACAGTTGTTGTTGTTGTTGTTGTTGTTTTTTCTTTATGATACGATTTATGCTTTTTAAGTATGCTAATTTATGAGTTATGTTGGAACAACTTGACCCGGGACAAATTGACTCAGAAAAGGTCAAAGCATTAATCATATCGGGAATTTTTAATCACGTGACTGATATTTCTGGCAGTACTAACCGTCACCATCAAAAAAAGATTCTAGGTGTTTCTACATCCTGGGTTTTTAACTGTACAGTACACATCTGCGATTAATATTATATGTGTTGTGTAAATTACAATAGTTCCTCCAACAACAATAACAACAACAACAACAACAAAAACGTTGAATGGGCACAGAGCATCAACCAACTCTGTCTCATTTATTCACCAACTGTACAATCCGATTAAAAAACGCTATAATAACGCCCATAATGTTCCTATGCGTTTTATAATATACAGGAGGAGCTATAATGTCATATTTATTACAGATATCGTGCTCCTCGGGTATGTTTTAAAATGTAGGGGAGGAGCTATAATGTCATATTTATTACAGATATCGTGCTCCTCGGGTATGTTTTAAAATGTAGGGGAGGAGCTATAATGTCATATTTATTACAGATATCGTGCTCCTCGGGTATGTTTTAAAATGTAGGGGAGGAGCTATAATGTCATATTTATTACAGATATCGTGCTCCTCGGGTATGTTTTAAAATGTAGGGGAGGAGCTATAGTGTCATATTTATTACAGATATC